CTTCGTAATAATATATGACTCGTTATTTCATGAAAAAAAAAACTAAAAATAAAAGAAGCAATGTTGGAAAACAAACATATAAAATTAACAAACAATAGTAAAATAAGAGTCGTCTAGATATATTAAAAAATAGAAACTATCTTCATATGAAAATCACTCGCTTAATTATTTTTAGGTGAATGATGCCTAGGTTCACGGTAATTAGCGTTAAAAACTACAAAACCGGACTCATTAATCCCTTCAAAAATCGACTCCCATTTCCCTTATTTCTTCCTATACTTGTAACCTCTTTCCCTTTATAGATATATTTTCCAATCACTTGATCATTTGCCAATAATCTATCCTTTTAGAATTATCAAATTACTACAAGAACATAGCCCGTTATCAATAATCAATCTATCCTTTTTAGAATTTGAAGTGTACCAACAAAAGATCCGTTCTAATAATAATCCACTATTCCAACTTAATCGACTTTTAATGAGAGAAAATCTCTAATGAAAATGATATGTCCGATCCAAGTGATCCCCGCCCAATACTTAAAAGCAACTACGGTGACATAACAAGAATAGGTTGCCATCCTTTTCAAGCACCTTTAACTTTTTTGGCAATTGTGGATGATGTTTTGATCATATGGCTACTTTAAAGATTCAAAAATCAAAACAAAAAATACTAACTTGTCGAGGGAAATAAGTTTGTCATCCTCTCGTAACCAAAACCTTTCAAACTCACCAATCATACCTCACTTGCCTTTGACCCCAAAAAAGTATATTTGCATCCTCACAACTACTTATAAAGTGACTAGTTGAACTTGACACCTTTGACTCATCCACAACTAACAAGTCTCACATGGCAACTACTAAAAGTGCTCTTAAATTATACTACATGAACACAAACCAACAAGAAATGAGTAGGGGAAAAATTTATGGATAAAAATATCACTTAATATGGTAAAGAAAAAAATTAGATTTTAAAAAAAGAATTAAAAAGAAAAGGAAAACGATTCTTGTAATTATAAAGCCAAAAATTGGTTCCTATATGTACAAAAATGAACAAAATTGGTTCCAAATCACATGGGTATCTAAATAAATAAAAAAAAAGTAAAAGAGACTCACCTTAGGAGAGCTCTCGAGTAGAGGAAGCGACGAAGAGTAGTTGAGTAGGAAGAGAAGGGTTGTGGGTGGTGACCGATGAGTGATGGTCGATGATGATTAGATTGGAAGAAGAAGACAAAGAGGTGGGTGGTGACCGGTGAGATTGGAGGAGGACTAGGGGATGACAAAGAGCCAAAGAGGTGAGTGGTGGCTAGTAAGATTGGAGGAGGACAGATTGCCGGATAGGTAGGTGTTAACCGTGTTGGCTAACGCCTAATGAAGGACAAAATGAGAACTAGACAAGAAGGGAATGAAGGTGGAATGAGGTGGCTGAAATTTTTTGATTCGAGTGAACGGTGAAGTTACACTCGCCAGTTTTAGGGTTAGGGATTTAGATTAGGATTTACGAATTTTTTTACTGTTAATTTTGATTTTTGATTTTTGATAGAAATCAATTTTTTTTTCAAAAATGAATCGAATTGAAATAATTTTGATATTTCGATTCAATTTTAAATTTTACGAATTTAAATTCAAACCAAAATACATAATTTGGTTCGATTCGATTCGAGTTTTTGATTAATTACACTTGCTCAACCCTACATATCGAGCCTTAAATTTACTCGTTTTCATCAACTTGTGTCTAATGAGTTGGATAACCTAATAAACTACTCCTCCACACATTAAAGATTTAAGTAGGTTATTTCTCATCGGTTTTTGTCCGATAAGTGGAATAAATCAATAATTGCTTCTTCACACATTGAGTTTTAAATTGACCATTTCGATCAATTTATGTGGTGTTGACTCATAAAAAATTTGTTTAACATGAAATATGATACTAGTGTTTAGTTTTATTAGGTTTTCTGAACTCATAAGGTAACTCAAAGAGTGAAGTTTTACTTTACATTCAAAATCAAGCATTTAACTCTTTTTGCAATCAATGTGAAACAATCCAGCACGTAATTAAAATCAAGTCATTTTCGATAGATCGTGTTAAATGAAACCTATATATATAGTCTTGTTTTTAACCTTTAGAGACCCAAGACTACGCACTCTTAGGTCTATCAAAAATGCTAGTATGGATAATCATCACACATTTACATTGATTACTTAACTAAAAAATTGCTTAAAAGGTTATATAAATATTTTAAATTTTTTTCACAAAATTTGGACACGGAGATAAAATATATCAAAAAAAAAAAAATTTCAAAATACAAAACATAAGCTTCCAATTTTTACTCTGAAGCTCGAGGTTCAGAATTCTTAAAAAAAAAAAAAAATGGAAGACATGTAAACGTAGTACCATTATTTATAGCCATATTCTTATAGATGTTCAAATAAATTCAAAAGGAATAGAGTATATATAAATACATGTATACCTTTTCATTTTGTTTAAATTTTGATCATAGTATCCTAGAAAAATTTTCAAGGGATTTACATTTCATTATCAAATGAATTTTATGAATTCAAATTTTAAAATCATTATTTGACAAAAAGTATTAAAGTTCTCTTATGTTTGGATTAAGGTACAAACTGAATTAAAATATCGTATCATATAATTAAAAAAGAAAAAGAAAAAGAAGGAGATGAAATTCCTTGGATTCCATTTTATTTTATTTTACCCGGTTTTATTTGGTATTCGAATAAATATATACACACACATTGTAGTCACGTGCTATCACGTGACGTGACGAATTAGGGTTTGCCATTCTTTTATTTTCGGCTCCTTCAGCCGCTTGTTATATCTATAAATATCCTCACTATCCCCAGTTACCTCCGTCGCCTTTTTTTTGTCATCTGTTCTAATTAACTATATCTTTCTCTAATGTCAGTTAGATTTCTAAATTTCTTTTGCAGTTTTTATTGCTTTTATGTTTTAATTTTTTTTTTTTTGAAATCATGCTGTGATGAAATTCTGTGTGTTCCGGAGACGGTCTCAGTGGAGCCTGTCTTTGACGGCTGCACAACCCTCTAAGAAGTTCTGAGCATACCATATATATATATGTGTGTGTGTGTGTGTGTGAATGCATTTTTGTTTGTTGAGAATTGAAAGCGAGGTGACGATAGAAGTTCATGTCTGTCAATCCCCTGACTAAGTAACTGTGTGATGTTACCATGAATCCCGACAGGTTCTGATCGTTTTCTGTCCTCAATAAATTTCTCACGCAGCCTCATTTTATTTTGCTAGATTATATTGTTCGGGTAATAATAGGTTTCGATTTGGAGAGTTAAAGTTCCGAGTTTTTTCTAGTTTTTGTTTGTGTGTATAGAAGGTTTGTTGTCTTGGGGCATATGATGAATCTCATGTTTAAATGGGTAATTTGCGTCTGAATTCTTCTTGATGCTATATCACCTTGGAGAACTGATGCCCTTTTCTTCGAACTTTTGAACGGTGTTTAGATGCTTTCAGTCACCCCCTAATATACCGAGGATTTAGGGATGTTTTAGTTGTTTTTAATACATACTCACTTTCATAGTTCTAGTTCTTGTATTGAGCTCTGCTCCCATCTATCTCTTTTGATGTCTTTGCCATCATGATATGTTGAGTTGCTATTGCAATAATTTTATCAACATAGCATGTTGATAAATATATTTGTGGAGTTGGGTGGAATCAGGGCTTTTCGCAACTATTTATTGAAGTATGAACTTCAACTCAACTTGAATGGCAGGATGAAGAATTTTATGCGTATGCTATACCAGTGTGAATGTTCGGAACTTGTTAATTAATCAGAATTGAAACTTTTTATAGAAATTTGCTCAGTTTTATGTCTTGATATCCATATATTCTATATGTGATTGTTGTGAGCTCTGATCATGATTTGTTACGTTTTATCTGAAAATTTTTATCAATCGATTAACACTTTCCTCTGAGTCGGAAATCTGAGTTGGTCTTCGATTAGTTGAGTTATAAAGTTTTTTTGAGTTTTTGAGTGGTTTTTGTTTATCAATCATTGTTTATAAGTTTTCTTGTTCTATGGGCAGATGATGAATCTTTTGTTTTAATGGGTAATTTGCATCTGATTTCCTTTGATGCTACAACACCTTGGAGAACTGATGCCCTTTTGAATTTCGCTTATGCTTTGTTGCTTTGATAGTGTAACTATTACACCTTGCTCAGTCAAATTGTCCAGATATTGAAATTATGCTCTTAACAGTCTTGAGAACTGAGATGGTAATCGAAACCTGTCTAAACCTCGACGTTATAGTGTTACTTGAATTAACATTGTAATCTGAGTCTAAACATCAAGGTCAAGCATAAATAATAGAATTATTGGTAAATATCATAAGTTTCAATTTGGAATGCTGGTCTAAAATTCTTGAATTCTGATATTGGTATGGCTTTCTGGTGCAGTGATTGGGCTGAAAATGTAAATATAAGCTATCTCCTAAACATTGGAAGCTCGTTGTATTCCAGAAGCTCGTTATGAGATAGAGAATCTTGGTAAAAAGTTGAGTGAGATTTCGACTTCATTATTCTCCAGTTAAGAAATGCCATTTGGATGGATGATGCTTTTTGGATGCTACAATGTCCTACTATGAATCATTTACCACGAAAATTGAATTAGAAATACGTTATCCTGAAGTATTAAACGAATTTGCAAATCTCTTGGTACATGCGATGATCCTGACATTGAAACTCTTCAAATATGTAAAGGTCCAGATATCAAACAAAACACATCCAGAATTGTAAATGGAGCTCGAAGTTTGAGATGTAAATCGAAAATAAAGTCCCCATTTTAGGATTTTCTTTGTTTTACATGATGTTAGCTGCTTTTATTTTACCGAAGGAACTTTCTAGCTTCTAGAATGAGAATAGAATGAAGCTTGGAAGTGTAAACCCCTCAAGCGTCCCTGTCTATCACTGGAAAGCGAGAGCGGAGCTTCAAAGTAAAACTTCTGTTCAAGAGCGCTTCACTCCCCCAATTTCATTTGATCCAATAAGCTTTTGCCATCAAGTTTGCTTGTAATAACAAGCCTTACATATTCCTCATGTGTTATGGTTTTGTATTTCGCTCCTTTCTCCTTTACAAGATCTGGCAAAGGTCCTACCATGGCCTCCATAATTGGACTGTGGAATGCTGCAATCGAAAGTCTCTCTTTTTCTGGGTTCACAACAGCTCTGTGCTCTATGCTTTTATATTCCCCATTGCTCATTATCTGCTTGAAAATGATCTATTAGAAAGCCACTAACATAGCATGACGACGACACAAATATATGCTATGTTACCTCAATGATATCACCAACATTGACTATGAAAGCACCTGGAATGGGTTTAATTGGCACCCACTTGTCATTTTTCTTGATTTGTAGTCCCCGTACTTCATTTACTTGAAGTAACATGGTCAATCCGGTTGCATCAGAGTGTGGTGTGAGACCCATCACCTTGTCTGCCTGCGTACAATGTGGATAATAATTCATTCTTACCCCTTGCACATCTTTATGTAGGCTAGCAAGCTCCTCCGAGTCAACTCCCAAGTTCACGGCCATCGATCTCAGCAAAGATATGGCAACTCTTTGAAGTTCCGATGAGTACTTGTCCAAGGTTGTTCTTATTCATACAGCCATCAAGTCATAAATCAATCAGCTACTCCACATTCAATACATCAGGTGTTCAATATGCTAATTTTCTGCTTTAGTTTCACTGAATATTCATGTTTAGGGTGTGATCCAAGATGTACCTGAAAGAAGTGGGATTGGTTGGCCATACTCTCATGTTTCTTTGGGAGACGGGATTTGGAAGAAGGAAAAGCATGTCCCCCCAATCGAGCTTTTGCTCCTCAGAAACAACAAAAGCTTGACCATAGCCTTCAATGTTATTTGGTGTCTGAGCACAGAGCATCTTCTCCTCTAGTGGCAGCCTAAAGAACTCTTGTATGTCACTCTTCATGTTCTCTATGGCTTCTTCAAGCACCCCGTGATTGATCAGCTGCTTCAACCATCACATTAATTAACTTACATAAACTGAGTAAACACTTCATGAATCTGTAGTGAATAATATTAAACAGAATTTCAAGGCTTTGTACCTGGAAGAAGCCCCAGTCCTTGCATGCCAAATGAAGCTTAGCCAATTCATCTTGGTGGCCTAGTTGATTAGCTAGAAGCTTGCTCATATCAATCACCGGAATATGGAGAGATTCATCGATGGAAACTTCATCGAATTGGACTTCAGGTCTGATATACCTGGACGGTACATCCTTCAAGTTCTTGGAAGCAAGTGCTTGCACATTCTCAACCGGAATTGAACCGCCCAAGTCCTTTCTCCTATCCACCTCAGTCCCCATTTCTTTTGAAAAACCCTACTCAATAATCTATATATGCACAAAGATAGAGCACTATTATACCAATATTTTAATATAACTTTGAAAATATCAATTGCTTAGTAAGGAACTATGCAAACGGCATGATATGCGAATCGTATTAGTTATGAAGTAATGTTCAGTAGTGTAACCAAAATATGACAAATACAAACTATGGCAGCATAGGTAAATTTACTTCACTTCTGATCATTTACTTTCATGTGAGTTTTCGTGATATTTTTGTTAAAAAAAATGGTTTGACCAATCATGACTCTTAATTATTTATGCCTTTGACCAAACCAAAAATGAAACAACAATTATTTTGTGTTATGAAATGGCATGGAGATTACAATTATCTGTTCCTGAAATTGGCAAGAAATATTTTCATTTGTGATATGGAGAATTCATGCCGGTAGGATGAGATCCATTTGTTGCCAGTTGGCTTGTATTAGATATGATCTATGTAGATGGGCGGCAACTTTTGTAACCTTACATGTTGCCGCCATTAGCGAGATTGCACTTCTCATTCATGATCATGTCAGCAACAAGTTAATTTAGTCCCTGTATATTAATGCAATTTTAACTTAGGTCCTTCTATTTTGAATTCAACTTTTTCTCCTTCACATTTATACAGTGTATAATTGAGTTTCATTGTTTGGGGACTATTACTAAGTTGTTGAGGGGTGACCGTTTAGTAATTTTTCTCTAAAATACCTTATTTTAGCTAATTTTTTGAACACAAAAGCTATCGTTTTTTTGTTTAAATTTCTTCTCTATACATTATTGTGACGTATATTGTTCAAAAAGTGTATTTCGATTATTATACACAACAACAACCATATTAAATATTTCCAAATCAAATGTCATCATTAAATTTTGTCAAAGAGTTCAAAAGGTTTGAGAAGGAAATTCGAATTTTGATTTGGAAATCCAATATTCATAGTAGCTAACGTTGCAAATCAAACCAATAAACTCAAAGATTGAATTATAATGAGAATTAAACAATACAACGACACATTAATGTTTCTGAATGTTAGCAAAATTATAATTAGCCAACACCCTCCCATCAATTAGTTAGGGTGTTAAGTAGACAACTATCAATACTTTGTATGAGTTGGGATTAGTTTTTTTTTTTTTTTTTTTGACGTGTCCTTGATTACTCTTCTTTGTCTTTATTTTTTTTAATAAAAAATATTTATGTGTTTCATAATATGATATTTCAATTCCTTATCTACTTATCGTAGCTGGAAAGATGAATATTTATTAAAATTTGATTTTTCTGTTTGTAATCAATAAAACGAAAAAAGTTAATGAAATTGTGTTGGTGATGGAAAAAAGGGATAGAATAGGGATCCAAAGGTATTTTGGATATTTATGAGAGAACTAATAGCATCATTAATGAAATCACATCCAAACGAAACCAATGAATCACAATATTGATTTTAAAAATAAAAGAACTAAGTTATAATTTAATTTTCAACACAAGGACTAATCACACATCACCCATTTCTTAATTTTCACTTCAGTTGAACAGGCTTCAATTGTTGGCTTGAATGTGCTTGAAGAATATTAATAGTCAGTTTGAGGGAGATTTACTAATCAACTTTTAACTCACTAGAGCTGATTGAATGTTTATGAACAGATTAGAGTTTGAGGCAAGCATCGTCTTTGGGAATTGGAATTATGACATGGACGATGGATGGATGGAGAAGTCTAAGCCGCCTTAATTCTAGAAGTTCCCATGAATCCAACAGCACAAGACAAAATACTTCATCTATAGAGGCAACTAAAACTAGAATGTTCCAGCTCCTCTATTAACACCATTGTCCAACGACAATTGAAATTGAGTGGAAGTACTGTTCTGTCTGTCATTCTCCATAGATATCCAATTGAAAAGATCTATTTATCCTCAAGCAAATAGTTGGCCCTCCAAGATTCTTCAAATAAAAAAGACAAGTATAAATTCTAGGGCAAAGATTAAGTAGAACAAGTATGTAGATGCAATCCAGGATTCCACAAATTAAGTGACGAAGAATCTTGATTGAACTCATCCAGATTGGAAACTTGGGAGTTAAACCTCCGAGCTAACTAGGCATTGACAAACCTACAATTCTTCCTGATCTCTCCTTCAAATCCTTTCAGTACATTTATATGCCCCATCTTTATAATAGAATTGACAAACGATTTGAAGAAACGCTCTTGATCAGAAGCAAAAGTCCACACTTGTTTTATGATCTCCCCTTCGTGATCTTCCGTGACCAGCACATTATCAGACCCTAACAATCCTCTCCCTTCGAGAATGTTAATGAAATAGTTGTTGTCAAATCTAGCTGGAGTATTAAAATCAAGCGGAGCCAATTGATCGTCTTTTCCATTTTCTGGACAAATGGACCGTAGAATTCTTCGAAAAGGGGTATATCTCTTGTATTTATCATGATGTTCTTCAGCATTCTCCTCATGTATTTGTTGCCTAAAGCTTAAGCATCTTGCCTTTCCCATTGTGTGGCTACCTGTGATAGACAGTAATCGACAAACAGTACTGTACATAAGAAATTTGATTTTTGATTTTTTATTTTTGGTCGCACAATTTCTTCAAGCAATTGCCATTATCCAACGTGTTTAATGGTATTTATTATATAAACTCCTAGCAATCATACATAAATTAAGGTTAATTTTACATAATATATTTTTTTAATTATATTTGTAACTAAACTAATTTAATCTCGAATATATTACTTTAGGTTTATAATATATCGTTTTGACAAAACTTTCATATTAAATTATTACAATTAGTCACGAGATTTATACATTATTATTTTATTCTTAAGATATTCTTGTAAGATAAATAAATAGAATGTTTTTATATGCAAATTAAATGATTAATTTTGATCATTTAACTTGAAAAATTATTAGAATAATATGTAGTGGGTGCTTAAAAATAAAATTAATCAATTAAAAATATAAAATAGATTAAAAACTATCCCATTAATCCAAAAAATTATAAAAGGCTTATTTGAATGCTAGGGGCGGGTATCATGCTTGTGTATTTTGATGGTTTTTCTTTTCTTATCGATCCACCTCTGTCCTTTGCTAGGAATACGGATCGGGACCTGTATGGTCCTGGATCCAATGTCTTTTATGGGCTTTTATATATTTTTCTGTTGGGTGTTAGTTGTCTGAGTTTTAACTTTTAAGCAGTACATCCATCACTTTATCTTGCCCATGTTTTAACCAAATTCAGTTATATAAGCCTTACTGTTCAAAAACTCCGTAAGTATATATTTATTAAAGTAAACTCTACGCGGAAACATTTGATTTAACAAAAATATTCTTAATTTTTTTTTAAAAAAAACATTAAATATATTAAGAGAATTTTAGTGGTAAATACTAAATATATGGTCTTACTTTGAAAAAAATTCTTCATGCCAAAATTAAAAAGATTTTACTTTGTATAAAAGCAATGCATATATTTATTTGTATATCACAATAAAATATATATATATGTCAATATTAATATGTAAATTCAACTCTAGCTTTAATTAAGAAAGAGATCAAAATATTAATATGATTGGTTAATCCCATTTTTTCATTATATATATTCCTATTTATACATCACATAAAACTTTAAATAATTAATGTGAGATAAGCTTTTTAAATCATTCCATCTTATTAGCACTTTATTTTGGCTATTAAAACTCTAAAAATGTTTTAAAATAGGTCAAAAAATAAATAATTAAAATCTGAAAAATAATAAAATAATATTAAGATAATATTTCTTTAAACAAAACAAATTATAAAACTTTTTTTCAAGCCTATATTTTTAATTTTTATATATACATACACACACACTAAATAATTAAATTAATAAAATAATAAAATTACATCAAAATTTAACAAATTATTAAATTGGATCTTCTTTGCTACCTTTTTAATAATAGGGATCCGATTATTTTCTTAAGTTATCTTCTTAAGTTATCCGATTATCTTTGACTCCTTTCCGAATATTGTGAATTTTACCTGATAAAGCAACCAAGTCTCGTATGTCAAGACCCTGTTGATAAAAATTGGCAATGAGACCCTCCAGAGAGGAATTTGGTGTAGGTATAAACTGATTGGCACCATCAAAACTTGCCTTCAGGGAGTCCTTTCTGCCTAAATAAACTTCCCAAACTGGGCCACCTCTCTTCCAAAGTTAAAAGACAATTAGAAATTATTAATTGCAAAAAAAAAAAAAAAAAAAAAAAAAAAAAAGAACTTGAGACTGTGAGATGAAAGACAAAGCTGTATACGTATATATATATGCATATATATGTACCACTGCAACAGCATCCCGAGCAGCAATGGCTAAAATATCAGCACATGAGACTGTGAGAGGGCATGCTTCTTCCAATCGATACTTAATCCTATCAATGACTTCGAATCCACGCAATGAGTTTACGTTAGGTCCTGCTAGCTTTTCACTAACCATGCTTCCATAGCTATCTAGAAGAACCGATGCATCGCACCCCTAAGTAATGTCAGAACCAAATCAGGTGTTGGTGATATGTATGGACTATTTAAGCAATCCTTTTAATTCAAGATTTCAATTGTGATGGAAAAAAAGACGAGACTGCGAACTATATGAGAACTATTTGTTACCAAGTACTAGTATCTAGTTCTCTAGCAATTCTTTTTCAAAATAAATAAATAAGAGCAAGAAAAAGTAGTGCAGTATAGTTTATGATGGTTAGCATCAACATATAATTTGCTCTATATTCATTAGGAGGAAACAAATTGAGACACAAAAGAGAAAACAAGAGGCCTGACCATAACGAAGCAATCATGAAAATGTAAGCGAAGCAGAGAGGCAGCCATTCGAGGATTTTTACGCACTGCAAACTCAACATTATACCTAACAATCTCTTCAGCCGTAGGGCATGTTTCTTTGTAATAGTCGAGGACTAAAAGTTCTTCATCACCGTGAGTAGACAAGCTTTGCAAGACCAAAACTACTAAAGTTATGTAGACAATTGTCACTGGATTCATTGAGAAATACGATGGCATGACAACCACGTAACAGAAAGGAGGTTTTAGTTTAAGATTGCTTAATGATGGACCAACATTTTCCCATTTATAGGTAAAACTTCAGGTGATAATGGCTTTTTCTTGTACCGAGTTTTCCATGTCGCTTTTTGGGTTTTCAAACCAACTCTATCCTAAAGCACCAATGTACTATTGTTTTTGCTGTCTCCTAAATCAAAGTTGATACAACTAATTGAACCTAACTCTACCGCTTTGTTTTCCTCTAGGACATAATTAATTTCTAAAAGACATGCAAATGAATTTTGCTATATTAGGTTTAACTTCTTTTTTCTTTCTTTTTTTCTTTTTTTAGTAAGAAATGTGTTTTCACGTCGGTTTTCACACATTTCGAAACTAATCTCTTTCGAACATGGCTAAAAAGCATTCCCAACGTGTAATTTTGAGTATTCTAAAAATAAATTCTTAAAAATATTAGTTATAAAAATCAAATTCTGAATCTGACTTATAAGTCGACTTTTGTTTATCGCTATCACCTCGTGGTTATTAGGGTTAACCTTTTAACCTTGATACGTTTTAATTTTCTTATCACCGAACTGTTTTACTAATGACATAATATTGTCCCTTATATTTAATTCTTAGCTTTTTTTTCATTTATGATATGCTTTACCAGAGTAATATTTAATGAGGTTGTTGATGACTATCATTTCAATTTCACCATTAATTAATATTTAGAGGAAATATGTAGTTTATTAATGAGTTTTAATTTTTTGCTTTGTCAGAAAGTCCAATTGATATTGGACTGCATTACATATATAGCCTCTCCCTTTAATTTTCTATTCTTTCTCATCCATGATGTAAGCAAAGATTTGATTCTGGATCACTTGGTCGATTGAGTTTAATCTAGATTAGGCAGGTAATGTTTTTTTATTGATAAAGCAATGCATCACGAAAGAAATTTAGCAATCTGACTCGGAGAAGAAACAGAAAATAAATGATCAAGAAATTGAGCAAACTTACATCGCTTGTCTTTGTCCTGAATGTTAATTAATTTCATTTGACTTTGTTTCTTCAAAAATTGAGCTAACTTGGGACATTCAATTAAGATATGGCTGTGTTACTGACCTCCAAGCCTTACCAAAACCTCATTATTAATTATGTACTACTAGTTACATAATTTGGGTGAGCTGAAAATTTAATGAATGCTAAAAGAAGCATATATATGTTGTTTTAAATGTTGTCTCAGTGATATCCTGCTTTCAAAATAAAACAGAAAGGAAGAGAGAAAAATCAGAACAAAAAAAATTGCGATCGTAAGTTCTGTCATGTATTAATCACAGAAGTTTAAAATGTCTACTGACTGACTCCAAAATTTCTATTGCAAGATACAGAGAGCACCTATTTTTTACAGTTTAATTTACAATAACAATTAACCAAACAAAGAACATATATTTTGGAGGTTCACTAGAAAAAGAAGAAGGAAACAAAAAAAAAAACAATCAGTTCAGCTCTCCACGTTCAATTCTAACAAGCAAGACCCGGACTGCTACGTCTGTTACGACTAAAAATTCATAACAAAGGTAGAAGTACCTAGATTTTACAATCCGCCCCCCTATTCCTGTTATCATCTCCAAAAAGCATTTGTGTTTCTTGCATATAATAATAATAAGGCCCATCACTGTTGGTGTCAAGAAATTGAAGTTCCTTTATATCTTCAGCTTGTAAAGAGTGATCAGCAATTTCCTGCTTGAAAGAATATATATGACAGCAAAATCAGCATACCACAGAGGAAAATAAAAACCAGCAGGATCATAATAGGCCTTAAACCATGCATTTAAAATCAGTAAAGGTTGGGAACCCAAAATCATAATCTCGTGTATAAGGTAGCTTCTTCATTTGAGACTTGCTTGTTGCATTGGTCTCTTAGTCATTAATAAGTAGTCATGTAGTCCAATCTATTCTGCAAGTCAGTATAGATTTACCTTTTATCTGCTAAAGTTCTAATTCCCACATTAATCGAGGAAAATCTCAGGATGCACTGCTGCACTATTGACATTGAGCGCTTTTTGCAGCTTCCGATGATTAAAGACTTCAACTTCAACCAAGAACATTGAACTGACTGGTCGATGATCCGACAACTTTAAATTTGACCGCTTGTAAGAAAGTTGTTTTATACCTTTACCTAACCAAAGTATTCGATCACACCTGCATATGATGTCAAATACATAATTAGGTGACCATTACCGTTCAAATGTTAGATTCTGTGATTTACTTCTCTAAGCATCCAAAATAAGAGAAAAACAGCAATTTGTTTTTACCAGAAATCTTGGATTTCTTCCTACCAATCTCTTTTTCCTAACTGTGGTTAGAGAAAAAGAGACGGAAAAAAAAAAAACTATTATTTACAATAAACTTGTACTTACCATGCCGGAGATCTCTTCTTCTCCCCTTCTTTAGGATTCTCCCCAACATACCTATCAGAGTTTATTTCATACTTGTAAGTTGGCGGAAAGTTTATCACTCCCTCTTTCCATCCTTCAAATACATGCCCACTGCGGAGTTCTTTGCTTAGCTGCCACACAAGATGAATCTGTTAACAGTTCCTCCGAAAAAAAAACAAGTAAGCAATAAGCTGCTTAGAAGAAAATAGAGACAGCATTATTTGCAGAAAGGGCAAACCATCACAGTTGGTAAAATCTATCAAGAAAACTTAACCGATTAGAATACTACATATGTCTCCTTCAAGGTACGCCCTACACCATCTCTCAAAACTATAGTATACATCTCCTATTGGAACATTTATGGTTAGAGATCCAATAATTCCTAAAATAGTTTCCTCCTCCAGTGATTTGGTGAGTTTTGTCATTGTTATAGTAAGGATGAAAGATATATCACTCTGTTATGATCCACATTATATCTAGATAACCTGTCCTAATACAACATGCTTATTAGCATAAAAACTCACTGATTAAAGAGGCTGAAACAATTCCAGGAAGTTGGGGAAATTTGATTGTTCATGAGTCTCACCTGATCACTGTTGATGAGTTCATCCCATTTCTTCAGAGCAACAAGCTTCCTTACCTCTATGTCCAACATATTGAGGCGATAATTCAAGTCCCCAAACCAGAATATCTGACTGTACAGAAGCACATAATTATTAAATACATTGAACAGGAAAATTATAGAGAATAATCACAAGAGGAAAAAGGATTTGAAGTCATTAGTAACATTCAGGCAAGATCATAAATCAATATATCATTGTCATCACATGATAACTTCAGGAAAATTTATGCTGAAGCAACTCATCTGTGCATTTTCTGTTCTGGTAAGTAAATGTCTTGGTACCTACACAAGGATAAGAAGAGGTACAAGTATAGCACATTCCTCATCCCTGATTAGATGAGAAATGTCCAAGAAACAGCACTCTGGTAGTCTGGTATAGTTCAATATTTATTTATTTCCTAGAACTAGGTTTCTCAATGACATCACACTTCAATTTATTAAAAAAGAATGCACATCGGTTTCCTAGGCTACCCTAACACCTGTAATTTCTTAGACAAATCATTGAAAACTATCGAGCATGAGTATGGAGCTCAAGACCACCATATTTTAATCAGCTAGGAAAGATAATCCATGAGAAGAGAAGATGCCTACTGTGAACAACGCATAGCATCTAGAAAAACGGTAACGAGATGCTCGGAAACCGTTACATAACATAATGGACGTTATTTAAAACTATGCATGCATCACACAAATTTATTCTTGGAATGAATTAGCATACAGATACTTGGTACTTGAGCAATTCAGTATTCTATGCTGCAGCATCATTTGGGAATACAATAAAAAAGAAAAGTCGTGAAACATACTGAATATAGAAGTTCAATACCAAAGGTTGCTTACTCATGAGACGGAATTGTCTGTGGTTGATTAGCGTCCAAGACAGATGAAAAACGAGTGCGTCGTATAATTTCGTAGACATCAGCATTACGCCTTTGTTCAGCCCCGTCTTTCTGACCTGAGGTCAGATGAGAACAAACAAAGCACAGCCTTGACTGGAAAAGGGACATGCTAACAGAAACAGATCCCTGCATCAGGAGAAGCCTCTAATAAGATGCTGGTAAAGCAAAGGCAAGCATGTTCAATTATGATCAATGTACATGTTATCTTCTCTATGTTCTATGCAATATTCTTGAGCATGAAGTCATCTCACCAGCATTACATCACAATATGGAGGCGCTGAACTTATCCCATCTAAAATACAAAAAGTAACAACGTATAAAACCTCTACTTCCTATCATAGTAAAATTAAGACAGCGGCCTCCATAACATGATGCAACCTGATGTATTTCCCCGCTGCAATAATTGTATTTACAACTAACATGTTATACAATTATGACACTGCTTCATTACTTCACTTTTCCATTTTGTGGTCTATGTGTCTACGTACTTAAGTTCCACCAAAATATCCGCATGAAATAGTCTAAATACTTCATATAAGTGCATGTAGAAATGCAATATCTTTGTCAACTATCAGCTGACAATGAAACTGGATGACCAGGAAGTACCTTGTTTCCCATATAGCCCATAAGACCAACTCCAACAGGGGAGACCTCCAAATTGTTTATATGTCTCCTCAACTTCTTGCGCACCCAAATTGATACATATATTCCTACCATTTGCTTGCTAACAATTCGCACATACTTAGGGCGTGGATTGCCATTATCTTTGACGATTTCACTGTAATATTGTTCGCTTGGTTCTTCTAAGAAAGTGTCATCCTCTGCTTCAGATAACCAATCAGAGACCTCGGAAAAAGAATCAATAACTTCAGCAACTTCTGCAACTTCAGGAACCTCATCCCTCTGTTGCTCCTCCAACCACATTGAGCCTAAATTTCCAGAACTGTGGTGAGATCTTTTCAGTCCACTCCTGTTCAATGCAATATTCCGAGGGCTCAATAACGAAGGATTCTCTATCCAACTGAAGCCCATTCTTGCAGAACTGCTCGATACTCTTCGTAGCGTGGCATTGGAAGAGAGAACTTGTTGTGGGGTCGCAGCCAATGAATGTTCAGGCCAGTCTATTCCACTGTCACAATCAATTCCATATATTCCATACACTCTCTTTATGTGCAAATTCTTTCTAATACCGATTGCTTTGCCAAATTCAAGTACGTCAGGTTCAAAACCATCGGCAGCTTTGATATATTCCTCATTCATCGTCTCTAATGGTAGAGAATTGACCCCATCAGCAAGTTCATCTGAAACTGAAGAAGTTCTTAATACAGGCGATGGTGGGGCACTAAAACATTTGTGTTTCCTTTCAGGTTGTAGAGAATATTTGTTCAGAGTCCTTCTAATGATTGCCTCCCATTTTGGAATTGGTCTACTACTCTCTGCTCCAAGTACGTTCCCAGCATTCAGAGGGACCACCTCTTGGAATCTGTTAAGGAAAAATAAACAGAATGCTAAAATCTATAGTACAAAGAATCCAAGCTTATAAGCATCCAAAAGTTTCATTCTAGTGAGAAAATGACTTTCAGGGCCAGAGGTGTGCTAACAATAAATTCCCTTAAGGTGGCAATTTGAAACATTGAAAACTTGAAGAATGGCAGCAGTCATCAAGCATTTTATGCTGAGTGAGTAGATATAAGCAAGCACATAGAATTTTGAGAAGAATGGCAGCAGTCATGATCTAGTATTTGATTGTTAGTCAGGAGATGTAAGCAAGTACATGGAATTTGGATTGAGTTTCTGCTTCTTCATAGGTGATAGAATTTTTCAGTTCAGGATGAAATTCTGGTGTTTGTTAATGAACATTTGAGTTTCCAATATATGTTAGGAAATGATGGCTGCTTTGGGGAGTTGTTTCGAAAACTGGACATTCTGGACCCAAACAGCCAGGGTCTGATAATTATTAGTGCGACTTTTTTTTGGGTTAACTCTGATTGAGGGACTGATCAGGTGTGGGCTACAAGGTCGAAAACAGGTTAAATACACATCCTGTCCTGTACGTTATAAAAAATATGGTTGCAATTCTTCTAACTAAATATAATTTATATAAATCTTGTATTATTGGATGTTAGTGTAAAAAAGTTTTTTTGTTAATTTTTTTTGTCAGATTGATCAAATTTTGTTAGTCGACTCAAGTGATGGCACGTGTTAACTTAAAAATAAAAATATAATTTGTTTTTAGATTCATTTTTTTTTCATGTTTTTCAATTAAAATAAATGATAATTATTAAAAAATCATTAAAAATTGAAAAAAAAATTCTAAAGAAAAATTTTAAAATAATCGGATTTTCTTAAAAAATTTTTTAATGGATTTAGTATAATTATTATTAAAGAAAACTTAAAAAAATCAAAAGAAAATATTTTTTAATTTTTAATATTTTTTATAATAATTATTAATAAAGAAAATTTTACCAATTATAATAAAAAAAGAAAAGAAAATTTCGATTATTAATTTTTTCTGTTTTTTAAATTTTCTTTAGATTTTTTTTTTGAAATTATCTTTGTTAGTAATTATTATAAATAATTAAAAATTGAAAAAAAATTCTTAATATATATATAATTTTTTCTTTATCAATAATTATTAAAAAATATTAAAAATTGAAAAAAAAAGTATTATTTGTCAAAATTTTCTTTATAATTTTTTTTCCAATTTTTAATTATTTTAACTTTTAAAAAATAATTTAAAAGAAAATTATATATTTATTCTTAAGTAAATACATGTCGTCATTTTGATTGATCAGACGGTAATTAACTAATTAATTAATAAAAATTAGTTAATCTGATATAAAAAAATTAATAAAGAGGTTGATTTGCATCAACTTCTAATAATACAAAATTTATTATGAATTATATTTAAATAAATGAGTTGTAATGATATTTTCAGTACAATACAGAGGCACCAACTGTATATAATCGGGTGTAAAACTGGCCCTCTAATATCCCAGCTGCCATCCACTTGTTGAGAAACAGCAAATCCTAGAAATACAGTACGGGTTACAAGCAAATTTTTTCAAGTTTTTCATGTGTATGCTCTAGAAACGAACAAACAAACAGATGCTGCTTGGATGGCAGATGATTTACTTAAAACTTAAGACTTGCAATCAGCCCATAAATGACAAATTAATTCCAAATCCTTCCAGGACTAGACCACGATAACATAACAAGAAACAAATTCAGGCTCGGGAGTTACTTGCTTATAACCTGATTTTCTACAAGGAAAATCTTCTGAAGGGATTCCTTAACAGATAGATCCCAAGATTTTCTGAACATGCATCGCAATCAAACAGATCAGGGAACATGGAAGCGATCACATTCACAAACAAGTTGGGCATATGCATGCATGAAGAGGCAGAGAGAAGAAGATGTAAAGATTTCCTGATACAGCAAATGCTTTGGATATAGGCATATATAAATGTTTACAATAAGTCCAGTCATCAAGATGAGACAACAAAGTGATGAAATAGTTACCCAATGACGTAAATGTCTGCTGGTTCTTCTGTACAAAGCCAATCATCAATATTAAGATCCTCGCATGGATGTCTTCCAGCAACATTCCAAGTACCTATTGTCACCCTGCAATAACCAAATGTTTAACGCTGTATTCTCAAGAATTAAAATATTGATTTAGCCTAATATTCAAAGGAAAATCAGATTACAGCCAACCTCACATCCTTCGTATTTATGTATTGAAGTCGCAGAGTTTCAGATTTCCCTCGCCTATGTCTTAATGGATACCCCTTAGAAGGTGCGTCTGGTTTCATTAAAAATCAAAACCACAGATGATCACAAACTGGACTTGCATGTAATCAGATGAGATAAAATGATATTTCCATAATTATCAAGTCCACAAGGAAGCATAAGATCAACTATATTATTATGTTTTAGCAGAACCAGAACAAAACAGCTTTTTTCCAAATTCAAGAAACCAAATTGTCAATAACTAGTTTCAACAGAATCTTCAATCGCAAAGGGTACCTCGCTCGCACACATAGAAGATAAGAAAAGCAACATCACAGAGATGAGAGTTGCAGAACTGTTAGAGACTTTGAATCACAAGCCGGCATATATAGCTCAAATTTCTGACCCACAATAACAATTACCTCAAAAGCTTAATCTTTTGTAAGTAAACCTCAAAAGCTTACTCTTGTGTAGCTCAAATTTCTGATTTTTATCTCAATGAAAAGGGGACCTGGTGACAGGCCGAAGGATCGAGTGATACATACAAGAGACTAAATATGCTTTTTGAGCTTGAATGCATTGAATATAAAGAAAGCAGGTTCAATAACAGATAACAGACATAGAAAAAAATTATTGCCTGAAATTTGACTCTGAAACACAGATTGGTTCCCCTGTGTCCTATGTGCATGATCCTCATCCAGATTAACTCTTTCATCTTTAACAGAGGAAGCTGTATAAAAATTGACAGGAGATGATCAAGCACAGAAAGCAATTAAGAAAAACGATTCCAATTAAAGACTCGAAAACCATACCATCATCTTCACTCTCAGTTTCTGTGTATTCATCTTCACTAAAATCATAAACCTTGGGCTTTATGTTCAGCCATTTCTTCATCACAATTGAAGGCCAGAAAGGCTGCAACCAAATGCAACTCTCCAAAATAAACAATATGCAGAACCATCTAAGAACAAAAAAATGAATTACAAACAGTACCAAGGCAACAAGGTAAGGAGCAGTTAAGCATACCTCAGCTCGTTTTCCTCTCCTGATCTTCATTCTGAATCAAGAACAAAGATTTACAGTTGAGGCTCTATACGAAATTTATATAGCCGACTTTCAAATCACAACGAGCCCTTCAGAGAGGAAACTGGAACAGTTGTGGGATTGTCACCATCCTAGGAGATTAGTATTTAAATAGGGACAATTACAAAATTACAAGGCCTGAGGTTAGGCCTCTTGTGATGCCAAACACAAAGAAGATTCATACTAGGAGCAAATAGAAAGGACAGAAAAAGTGTGGACAAATTTAACAGCCATCCACAACCTCAACTTGCTAAAAAAACAGAATAATTCAATGGTCCACCAACACGTCTTAAATTTTCTGATACCAAAACGTCCCAGCATAAGATATTATAGAAAATTTAACAAATCTCTTATATCAAGTTCTGTGAAAATCAAAATGTCACTTTCTACTTAACCCTACAGTGCTAAAAATACTCTTAAAATCAATTGATGCTACTGCCATTACAATTGCAAAAGTAGGCCACCAAAGTGACAGTTAAACACAGCATAAAAAACACAAAATAGTTATAATAAGAAAACAATGAATTACAAAAGTGGAACTATAAAAAAAATTGCCCAAATTTTTATATTACCCCCAGAACCTAATCAAACCTGAAGCAAATCCAAGTGGGCATTTTACCATCATGCAAATTACTGATCCTTAATCACATCAAAAAAATTCAAATCAAGGTGAAACGACTGCAGTAATCCCTGGCCCACATCAATCTAATATATCTATAAATCAAACATTTATACAGCTGATTAAGGCTAGCTAGAAATAATAAATTAATTATGAACAGACAAATAGGCTCATATAAAGAGATACATTAACAAAACTGATCATATATACCATCACAGCCTAGATTTAAAACGTAGCAGAACAAAACAGCCACAAACATGCAAATATTTAAATAACCAAAAAAGTGGGTTGACACTAAAATATAAATTAAGTTTAAGTCAAACAGATAATCACCAAGTGATTAAAAAAAAATGATTACATTCAAAGGGCAACTGTGATTCATTGGTAGGACGGTGAATCTTATTTTTTTTCATTTTTTATATTGCATGATATATAGACATATTAATTAAACTATGTGCATGTGTTATGTGTAAGAAAAATGACCCTTCAACTGATGCAAAACTGGACAACAAAACATGGGGTCAGCGCACTATATGTGAAGGTGAAGCACTCTCCCATGTTTTTCAACTTTCAACTATTAAAAGTCTAACTGTGTTTTTTTTGTTTTTTAGGGGTTATACATATATGAAGTCTATGGTTGAATTAGTTGATAAGGACTTTCCTCCACTTATGAGGAAAACTCAGATTTTATATATCACGTCAAAATGTCTTGTTTGATATCAAAGTTTCCTATATTGATTAGGTCTATTACGTTAGGCTAGAAAATAAAGGAAGTTGATTATCAAAGTTATCATGACAGCATGCACTTCGCTTTTTTAAAAACTTCTCCTTGTCTAGATCATTTTAGGTACCGATTTCATGGTTGAATTTGAAGAAGACTTTGGATGACAGCCAACCATTTATAAATACCAGCAGAATAAAGAAAGGGGAAGGGAGGTAATATTTTTCTTTTGAGAAAATCATTAATGTTAATTGCATGCAAATGGCGTAGGAAGGAAGGTGAGATTTCTGTTTATGGAAAAAAACATTATTCTCAAAAGTCAAATGTTAGTATATGCATGCTCACGGGGTATAAGGAAGGTAAGATTTTTTGTCTTTGAAATCATGATTATTAGTCCTACGTAAATGGGGTTATTGCCTTTTTGGCTGCTGAACTTGGCCATGTGGACTTGTGTGTACGTATGGTAGATTAGAGAAATTTTATAATACATAAAGAGTAATGAGTGACATATACAAGTAGTTATTTTATGAGTTCATTTTGAAGAGAGATAGACACATAAAAAAGATTAAAATTACATTTATACCCATCAAAAGTGATAAGAAGATTTCCACGTCCGCTTAAATTTTTTTATTTTCTTTCTCTTATTTGTCTCTTTTTTCTCGTGTCTATCTCTCTTCTCAAAGTGAACTTATGGAGTAACTATTATATATACCATTAGTTGCTCTTAGTGTATTATAAAATTTCTCTTATAGACTGTACTGTTGTTTTTGGGTGCAATGCAATTTTTGGATTCAGAGTAGGACACGGCGAAACATTAGGTAAACTGCAGTGGATATCTACAATATGGAATTAATTTGTCGTGACTGACATAGATGGGAATTGACTGATTACATTTTATTCGGAGAAAAAAGCGATCATTAGTTGAGAATGTTAATAAAAACTTCTGTGCGTATCTTTATTATTATTGTTGTTGTTCTTATCGTATTAGTTTTCTTTTTTCTTTTTCTTTTAAATTCGTTTTGTTTGAATACCTATTAACCAATATAATTAATAATCTATTTAAAATAAAATATTGTTAAATTCATCATCAAACTTATTATTTTCACAACTTATTTTTTAAATTATCAACACATCTTCTCATCAATATTTATTATTTTATCACATTTAAATATATTTTATATCAAATATCAAAAACATAAAAAAAAAAAACGAATTTATGTAATTTTCATAAATCCAGAATGATTATGTGCACAATCTTTTGTAACGGTAAAAAAAATAATAATAAAAATAAAAATACCCTAGAATCCCCTTTTGCATGTCCCTTATTTTCTCGAAGCAATTCATCAAATGTCATAGACATGAAGAAACCCACTTACAGAATCACACAAAAAACGAAAACCCTAACCCTAATTCTCAAAACCCATTAATCAAAACGCAAATAGAAAATCCTGCGATTAATAAAAAAACATAACACAAATCAATTGAAACGAAGCGAAAAGAAAGAAAAAGAACCATATAATTAAACGCTTCTTTTTATTTGTTTTCGTTTTTTACTCACATTTTCATGCGATCTTTTCCGTTAAATGATTGCTTGAACTGTGCTTCGCGTATCAAACTTGGTGGTATTATTACAATAAGAAGAATCCATATTGGTTTACAGAGAGACTAAGAAGCGCAACAGAGCAAAAGATTGCAAGAGAGAAAGAACGGATTGGGATAGAAAAACCAGATTGGGACCGAAAGAAGAAAATTGCAGTAACAGAAGAAACAAGATTAAACATGATTAAATTAAGGACGGGTTGGTGATTTTGTTACTGTTAAAACTTTTATTGGTCAAATGGGCTGTTCGTGCATGGTTCAATTTTTCATAAATTTTGAACGACTTTTTGGTGGTGGAGGAGAGAGGAGGAAGAAGAAAAACGAAAGGAAAATATAAATAAAAATGGATTTAGATACATGTCCATATTTTATATGATTTATTGGTTGATTGAGTGGTAAATATGATTTTTAGTTAAATAAAAATGCATTTAAAATTATTTTAAAAATAAAAAAAGGACATTAAGGTAAATAAAAATAAAAGGAGAAACTAATACTATGAAATCAAAAGCTAAAAGACGTATGGAAGCTTTTAATCCTTATCTATGTCTATGGTCAACATCGAGAATGATTATTTGAAAATCAAACCGATCACTGATTAGGTTTCTTAGTGCTACCAAGTCCTTACTTAGTCCCCTCTTTTCTCTTAAAATTCGCCAATCATTTATTCTTCGGAACTTTACATATGAAAAATCCCTTGAATTTGAGTAATTAATTTGTTTATTTCAAGAAAATAAATTTAAAAAACTCCATTTTGAAACCTTGTTTTTGTATCAAATCAACAAATTGAACATTATGTAAATAATTTTGCAAATTGGACTATGTATTCGTCATATTTAGACAACTTAATTCAAATGACTTCAATTGCTAATAAAAATCCATGTAGCCCTTAATTTTTGACCTACTATGAAATCACATGAAAATCATGTGAATCTCTCATAAAAACGTCCCAAATTGCATGTTTGGAAAAATTAAAAGAGAATGACTTGTAAATAATTTGGTTTATTTCATAAATATTTTATATTTTAAAAAAAAATTAAAGCTAAACATTTTGATCAAAATTGTGTTACACTTTTTTAATATTTTTCAACTCAAGAAGTTTTAATATAAAAAATGAATTTATGTTAATTGAGGATGATTGGATCAAACTACTTAAATATAATTATAGAGTCGAATTCACAAAATTATTAATGCAAGATTCAGTTATCAATTTAGTACAAACATAGTGTCTACAAATTAGTTTTTTTTCCAAATAAATTACAACAAAATTAAATTCCACATGTGCTATAACTTTTCTTCATCTATGTTGTTCTGAAAAAAAAATAAAAAAAGTTATTTTGTTTTACAACTAAAAGCACGTACGATACCCGAGCTTTTAGCGTAAAATAAAATTATATAGGATTTATTGGGTTTGTGTCTTGATTTAAAGTTGATGTACATTGGTGTCATAATTTTAATTTTATTTTTAGTTTTTATAGAAGGATCATTAAATTTTGGATTCCACGATAAAAACTAGTTTTCTCCCATTATAAAATACTAATTCTTACTGAGGTTTTGACATATCTATAAAGATAGCAAGCGATAACTCTAAAGTAGCTGCAATTATGAAGTAAAATATTTAGTTTATTTTTATTTATTTATTTTTAACACTTCGGTGGTCTTAATGCATTCGTTTTTTATGAGCAACTCCTAGTTAAGAGGTTTGTGTGTTGAGTGCTTGTCATTCCTTTAGATATATTTTGATATTTAACTGCCTATTTGTATTTTTTTCTTGTTAATCGGACTTTTATATATATATATATATATATATATATATATATATATATATATATATATGCAGGAGTATAATTTGATTTTGGAGTTTTAGCGTTGGGTTTTTGTACTTGTCTCTCTCTTTAATTATGTTGGAAATTTGATTCATTTTCGCCTAAAAAAATACCATTCGACATAAATCCATATATTATTTATTTATTTATTTATTTTTCTCAATCTGTTTGCAAATGCTTAGCAAGATCCAATTTTTTTAGGCGAAGATAA